AAAGAATATTTTTCCTAGGCCTACCAGAGGCGTGGATTTATTAAAGAATATTTTTCCTAGGCCTACCAGAGGCGTGGATTTATTAAAGAATATTTTTCCTAGGCCTACCAGAGGCGTGGATTTATTAAAAAATATTTTTCCTAGGCCTACCAGAGGCGTGGATTTATTAAAGAATATTTTTCCTAGGCCTACCAGAGGCGTGGATTTATTAAAAAATATTTTTTTTAAGGCCTAGAATTCATTAAAGAATATTTTTTTAAGGCCTAGAATAGGCTTGGATTCATACAAGAATATTTTTTGGAGGCCTAGAATAGATGTGGATTCATACAAGAATATTTTTCCTAGGCCTACCAGAGGCGTGGATTTATTAAAAAATATTTTTTTAAGGCCTAGAATTCATTAAAGAATATTTGTTAAGGCCTAGAATAGGCTTGGATTCATACAAGAATATTTTTTGGAGGCCTAGAATAGGCGTGGATTCATAAAAGTATATTTTTGGAGACCTAGAATAGGCGTGGATTCACAAAAAAAAAAAAAAAAAAAAAAAAAATTGGAGGCCTAGAATAGGCGTGGATTCATTTAAAATATTTTCTCACAATGAATCTCCCATATATGCGATATCCCCATGTATAATTAAAACCTTTTAATAATTACATTGACGAACCACTAAAATGAAGATAATTCCGCATGTAGCTGTATCTGGTGGCTGAACCCCGCAACCCGTCAGCTTTCAAATGAAATCATCAAGAACTTTTCGTCATCATCAACCGCATTTGTCTTTGACTGCAACGCACACACACACGCACAGACACAATATAATGACAACAACAATAGCTGCAAATTACCATTGTCAATACGATGATGGGGGGTAGGTGGTATCAAAAGGAGGACCACCTCCCTCCTTACATGCCAAAAAGCCACTTATTACACCAATCAAGTGTAATTAGTTAACACCGTATGTTGCTGTTGCTTCCATATCCATGACATATGGAGGATGATTATGTATCTGATGATAATGATGATGAGGATGCGGTTGCGGACGGAAGCTTCTTAAACGAACAATAAGATACTGAAAATGCATTCACCAACACACACACATACATCGTCACCACCATTTGTAAACCCCATTTTCGAATATAATTAACACTATTGGATTCATGGGTATTATTATGAAAATTACAACACCTACAATGAGAGGAGGGGAGGGAGGCATACGAAGCCAGCGATGTGGTGGCTGATGAATACTCAGAAAGAAAATTTGAGAAAAATAAAAGACATATATATGGTATTCAATACACAAAGTACCATTGAGAGTTTTCGGTCTATGACAAAGGTTCTCAGAACATAAAAGATCTTCATAATGACAACCTTTAAAACAACTTCTCATCAAGTTTTCTATCTATCTGCGGATCACTTTTTAAATGTTTTATAGGAATTCATTGACTTTTAAATCTGTGGCATATTTTTATATCACCTATAATATAGTGCTTTTATTATTCCCAACCTATGGAAGTTGCTGCAGGATGTTAATGAATTTTCCTTTCAAGGAAAAACTAAATCCATCATCCATGTGTTATTGAAACTAATCAACAAACCATCCATTGCTATTGTGCGGAATTTGTCATTTCATATTACATGTATGGGTGTGGATGACATGTGTGTGTGTTCTCTACACACACAAACAGGTGTGTAAATCTATATAACATATGTATCCGCATTATATGTCCACGGACATTACAATGAATTTGTCATTTCATTCCCATGAAATAACAATAAAAATGAGGGAGTGGAATTGGCGTTGGTATTAGATGGCTGTCTAATCGCATGACAAGGATTGCAGGAGAAAATAGAAATTTTGTTTTTGCAAATTTGATTTTTGATATTGGCTATATATGAGATTGACAACTCGTTGGATGGATTCGATGGTGGTGATGACGATATGACATTTGTTTTGCCAATATATATATATATATATATATGTGTGTGTGTGGGCTGAGAATATATATTTAATTTTGTTGAAAATACAAAAATATTACGAAAAATTTATAGAAATCAAAATCGAACGCCAAAATATTGTTATTTAAGGAAGCTTTTTAACTTTTAGTTCCCTGGCAATATCTTTGAGTTTCCGATGCCCAAATTCCAACGAGATTTTAGTTTTTTTACACTCAATAAAGTATTTTTTAAGTGTTGGGGTATATGCCCCGCTGTTGCCGGTATGTCCTGCTACATCAATACATACATGAAAATTACACTAAGTAAAGGCCTAAAATGTATTTTTTAGACGTTAGAAGCCTTTTAACGCCTTTTTAGGAAATAGAAGACTTTAAATGCCTTAAAATGCATTTTAGTTCATAGAAGCCTTTATAGGTCTTAAAATTCACTTTAACATGATAGAAGCCTTTGAAGGCCTTTTTAGACGATAGAAGCCTTTAAAGTTACCATAATTGTGTTCCATTACATTTAATATTCCTTTAGGAGCACATGGTATTTAAAATAGCGGATATTACTTCTCGCATCCCTCATAGGCTCAAAAAAAAAAAACGTTTTCTTCATAGAGATTGAGATTTGTATTTAAAATGTGAACAGAACCCTAAAATTTCCTGAGAAAGTGAACAATTAAAAATATTGAACTTTCAAGAGGTTTAGACTTCCGCGAGGTTTATATATAAATAGCAGATTTTCAAGTGGCCCTTCAATAGATAGCAGTGCTCCAAAATGTCTTCAATAAATAGTAAGCCTTCCTGATAGTACACCTTATTTGGTTGGTCCCTCAAAAAGGTCTTGTTTTGGTCCCTGAAAAAAATATTGTTTTAAAAATCCACGCCTCTTTTTTCGTACTTTAAAATATATTCTTTAAGAATCCAGTCGGGCGGGGCCGACTCTCTATTTAATATAATACCCTCTGCCAAATTTCGTAATAATATAATACCTATATCAAAAACAGAATAGATTTCAACAAACCTTATCATTTGGTGTATCATTCACCAAAAATCGAACGAAACTATATATGAGAGCTATATCTAAATCTATATTTGGAAGCTATATATAAATCTGAACCGATTTTAACAAAACTTCGCAGACATCAATCTTGACCTAATTCAGTACACTGTGCAAAATTTCGTCTCAATGGGACAAATATTAGGAATTTGGTGTATCATTCACAAAGATCGGACGAAAATATATATGGGAGCTATACCTAAATCTGAACCGATTATAACAAAACTTCGCAGACATTAGTCTGGACCCTAGTCAGTACTCTGTGCAAGAGTGTAAATCGACTCAGAAAGTGATTCTATACATATTCTACTAAAAAGGAACCATGGGTCTATCTCGATTACTTTTGCCTGTTACAAACATATGCACAAAGACATAATACCATGTACCGCAGTGTGGTGAGGGGTATAAAAATCCACGCCTGTTGTTAGTCTGTGAAAAAATATTCTTTAAAAATCCATGCTTGATTTTAGTCCTCGAAATCCATTCCATTCAAAAAAAATGTTTATATATAAATCGCAGTATAGTCCCCTACTTCGCCAATGTTTTCCCAACTGGTTCAAATATGAGGTTCCTACCTCGGCTACAGTTCCTTAACTCACCTATGGGTCCCTAGTTCACCAATGACTCCCAAGCCCACTAATGTTTTCATAGTTCTCCTATTACGCTCCAGCTTAACAATGGTTTCCTAGATCACAAATGGATTTTGAGAATGCCAATGGCTCCTTGGCTCACCTATGGCCCATAGTTCTACTTAAAGTGGCCGTAATTTTAAATTTCGGATTTTCAGAGTCTAAAAGACCTCCTAACTGAAAAATTGTATTTTCTGTCCTATGTTGAAGTTGTTTAAACTCCCAATAGGTTTTAAATTAAAGACGAACTTAACATCGTTTTTATTTGTAGTTTATTTTTCTTCTATTTTTATTCGAAATAAATTTAATATGGTGTAACATAGTCCTGGATGCTGTTGTTACACTGCAAATTCTGTCAATATAGGTGTAACATATATATGTGTATTGTATTTTTGTAAAATTCATTGGTTGCTTTCCTCCCTCCTTCTTTCCGCCCTCCTTCCTTCCTTGCTTTTTTATTTGATTTCAATATGTACAATTTAATTCCAGGAATTGCTTGTGGCTTTGTTTATATAATTCTCTTGTTCCAAATATTTATATGTTTCCAGAGTGTGTGTGGATGTGTATGTGTGTGTTTAAATGTCATACATGTATGAGGAAAAAATGTGTTGTGTGCGTTTTTCCCTCTGTGGTTTAATGGAACAAAGTTGACTATTACTGCTTTTGAAATACTTTAGAGACTGCTTCACCTTTGGGGAAATGGACTTTTTAATGCAAATCTACTTAATTATGTTCTGAAGGGAACAAAATACAGTTATATAATGGGTTCATATTTTAAATCGAGTGGATCCATGATTTGGGCAAAGACTCCTTAATAACTTCCAATTTAATCTATTTTTATTTTTACCCAATATTAAATTCCGATTGTTTTATTTTTAATAAATAAAAATTGTTTTTTTTTCAACATTTTCCTATCGAAAAATAATGTCCGTAATTAGCATCAGCCGTCCTTCTTTTTTGACCTTATTCCCAGGCAATTTATACCGTATTAACAAACAATATATTTTTAATTTACTGTAGCATATTTTCCTTTTCATATTCTCTGAGGTCCTTTAAACGCATCACGCTGTTGTTGTTAATAAGCTGTGGAATTTCTGCTGTTGTTCGGCGAAAAATATGAAATGCCAAAAATAAATGCACAATTGTTAATATAGTTTTTAATATCGAAGACTTATTAACAGAAAAATATGTCAGGCATAATTATTCGATATTTGTTTTTTATCGATGTACCGTCACTGAGAAGATATTGCTCAAAATGTCAATGTGATTAAGTGGGAAGGAAATTGTTATTCAACAGGAATAGGAAATGTCAATTTATATCTTCCAACCTTAATTATAATTCTAATTATACGTTTCCTCTTATCTTTACAGATTCTTCTACTTATATCATTTTGCCTTCTATGCGTATCACTATCGTTTTAGTGGACAAAATCGCAGTTTGGCATTGGTCTCATCGTGGTTGTTTATACAGGTAAGAATTTTTTTCAATATATTATTGCCTAAAAGGAACTGTTGCTGTTGTTTTTTTTTTTTTTGCCATCCTATGATCTAAAACCACTGCTAAAGGGTTGCATGTCCCAAGTAATTCCAAATTTAAGATATATGCACTTTTACCAACGGGGTATCGTTTACAATGTTCTCAAATATTGCGAAATTTTGCGGAGACTCGAGAGGTAGCTCTGCAAAAAGTCAGACGCTACGGCTTTACTTACTGGTTTAAATATTGAAATATGATTCCATCAGAAGTACATAGGCGTATACGTTGTGACACCATGTATACGCAACAATGTACCTAAAACAAGTGAAGGAAATCAGAATAAAAATGTGATTATAGCAAGGCTTCAATTTTGTTTTAGAAATATTTTTCAACGACAATTACACTGTGCAGCACAAAAATTTTTGGACCAATCGGGATTTTATCTGAAGTACATAGGCGTATACGTTGTGACACCTTGTATACGCACCAATGCACCTAAGAGAAGTGAAGGAAATCAGAATAAAAAAGTGATTATAGCAAGACTTCAATTCTTTTTTAGAATTTTTTCAATGACGATTATACTCTTTAGCACTAGTAATCCAATCGGGATCGCAAAAATTTGAAAGCTTATGATTGTAGAAGAAAACCCCTAGCTGCGTTTTTAATGATCAGCTAAGTTTGTATACCCTCCACCATAGTATGGAGGATGTATTAATTTTGTCATACCGTTTGTAACACATCGAAATATTCATTTTCCACCCTATAAAGTATATATATATATATATATATATTCTTGATCAGGGTAAAATTCTAAGACGATCTAGCCATTTCCGTCCGTCCGTCTGTAGTAATCACGCTGTTTTCTGAAGGAATTGAGATAGGGTGCTGAAATTTTACATAGGGTTGTCTTTTGTCTGCAGGCAGGTCAAGTTCGAAGATGGGATATTTCGGTCCACGTTTAGGCATAGCTCCCATATAAGGGTACCCCCAATTTTTCGGTATTTTGGGGTTCTTGACCGAGTTTTTCAACCGAATTCGGGTAGCTCCCATATAAGGGTATCCCCAATATTCGGTATTTTGGGGTTCTTGAGCGCGTTTTTCAACCGAATTCGCTGCAATTTGGTATTTTGTAGTCGTATATGGTAACAAATCTCCCTAACAAAAATTATTTATATTCGCCCCCTTTTTGGGGTAGTCCCCATATAACTCCCTTTTTATTTTTATTAAAATAGTTATCTAATTTTTTCCGCGTTTTGGGTTTGGTTATAAGAGTCTGTCGTAATCATTTAACCTGCGGAGGATATCGAGATAAAGCTAGAATGTAAGGTTCGGTAATGAGCTATACATGAACTATAACCCGCATTTAGGCCTAGCCTGGACCGATAGTCCACATCTTCGTACCTGAACTAAGTTTGGAAGAAATAATAAGATAGGCACAGGTTGGATGAAATCAAAATTTTCTTGAACATGGTTTACATACGTCGGTATAGGTCCACTTTTTGGTATTTTCCCTACATTTTCATTTCATGTACCTGTCAGTATATCTATGGTGGAGGGTTTCCAAAGTTCACTTGTTTTTCTTTAAACCCGGTTTTAATATTGTCGGTGGATTTTCAAATAAAATGTACGATTATCTTGTAAACCTCTCGAAATATTGATTTTCACTCTTCAGGAATGTTTCAACCTAAAATAAGAGTTACAAATGGTGTTTTGAGATAAAATAAAAAAAAAAAAAAAAAAACATCATCATCATACTCAAAAAAATCATAAATTTTCGAAGTTTTTTTTAATGATACTTTGCACTTGGTTTAGATCTTGTAATTTATTCGACCAACAATATACGACAGGAAGATAGTCAAAGGAAAAACAAACAACTATTCTTAAAACCCCGTTTGGTTTGGATGATTTTTTTCACATGTTTAGCGTCTCAGAAAGTCAAAGTCTCAACAGCTAGAGTTTTTCTTTCAGATTTTGGCGGTCCTGATTGGTTCAAGATTTTTAAGTTGAAAAAAGTATCGCATTGTTATAGGAGTGCAGTTTTTTTCATCTTAAAAATATATTTCATTTGACCGTTAAAATAGGTTTTTATCAGCAACACGTAGGCGTATACATTGTGACAACACGCATACGCTTCAATGTACCCAATATGTGTTATGGATAACATGATAAAAATGTGATTGTAGCGTAGAGGCATCGCTCGTCGGTATAATTTCTGTACAAAACAATTTCTTCGAAATTAAAAGAAAATTATAGGTGTGGATTTTTTTTTTTAATATTTTTTTCGAGGCCAATTTTAGAGTTGAATTCTATGACGAGGTCAATTATAGGCTTGGATTTTTTACGAGGTCAATTATATGCTTGGTTTTTTTTTTAATATATTTTCGAAGTCAATTATAACCGACCATATTTTAAAAAATTATGTTTATAACCTACACAACTATGTTGTCAGGGTATTATAGCTTTGTGCAGCCCCAAAAGTTTTTAACGCCGCGAAATATTGTCCTAGACCCAATTTACCGATCGTCATATCTCGACTAGCTGAGTCGATCTAGACATGTGTGTCTGTCCGTCCATTATAATTTGTAAACGCGATACAGGCCACAGTCATGAACCAATCTTCACGAAATTTTGCTTGCAGGATGGGTTCTGCCCAATGAAGACCTCTATTTTTGGTAAATATCGGTTAATATTTAGGGGATGAAATGGACCAAATACTTAATTTTTGTCGGGTTTTCTGCTCGCTCCAGAGGCCGCAGTTATGTTCCGAACATCGTGACATTTTACATGGAGAAGGGGATCGGGCCAAAGAATAAGCATGCCTTTTTTGATAAGGATCGGTCAATATTAAGCGGGCCAAATGGACCCTGACTTTTGTGTGAAAAATTACAAAATTTTTATTCTGGGGCGTATATACTTGCTCCTGAAGGATAGTATATCCAAGAAGTTGATAGTATATCCAAGAGGAGTTGTTGTCCTTCAAATTGATAGCAATTATATATACAGTCATATTTGGGAGTTATACGAAATTAGGTAAAGGTGACTATGTGCATAGTATTACTATTACTCCATTAGAGGACGGAAGTGTCACGCTGATCGCTTTGAAATTGTACATGAAGTTCCGATTATGGTCAAGGACGACGCCTATAGTTTTCGGTGAAGTTAAGATTTCATTCAGGGGTGCAATAAACCGAAAACAATAACTTTGTCAGATTCTCTAGTCGCTCTAGGCGCAATTATTATATGCAAAACATCACATATTCTACAAGGTGATGGCGATCTGACCAAATACTTAGAGCGGCTGTTTAGATGTTGATCGGTCACCAATGACCAATTTTTTATTTTATGGCGTAAAAATTCACTTCAAGAAAAAATTTTTGGAAAATATGGCAGGTTTAGAAAGTGGAGTTGTTGATCTATAATCGGTAAAAGGGTGCACGAAATATTGCCCAGGCTCAAAAAATATAGAACGGCAGAAAGTTTGCTCTTCGTGGTAGTTGTGTAGGGTATCATATGGTCGACCCTGTCCGACTATACTTCTCCGCTCACTGGTTTCGAGGGTTGAATTCTTTGAAAATACTTTTACAATTTTGCTTTTTAAAAATATATTTGCAAATTCAATTTTTATTTTACTTTTAAAATATTTTTTCCATGTCATTTATAGATCTGGCTTTTTTAAGTTAATTTTTTTTTTTAATATTTAAAATATTTATTTCTTAGTATTGAAATATTTTTTTCTCACAAATACGTTGGCGTATACGTTGTGACAACACGTATACGCATCAATATTGCCAAGAACATAAATGAAGGAAATCCAAAAGAAAAAAAAATGCAATTCAAATCGTCGAAGGCATGAGGTTTTCTTGGTCCTTGATTTTTTTATTTTTGAGAACAATTATAGGAGAGGACTTTTTTAAAGGGTTCATATAATTCTTGGATTTTTTTGATAGTGGCAATAATAGTTGTGAATCATTTAAAAAATATATTTCAAAGGACCATACAAGCCCTGGATCTTTTAATGATCTATTTTCGAGCAAAATTTTAGGTTTGGAGTATTGCGAGATTTTTTAACTTTATTTAGATTAGTGATCGAAGGAAGGACGAAAATATTTTACAAAAAAATACACTTTAAGTAAATATGTCATACAAATATGAATATAGGTTGCTTGAAGAACTTCGCTGTCCGCATTTCTACAATACGCCATCCCTTTACTTCAAATAGTTCCCGCACACAGATATCCTTGGATGCGAACGAAGGAGACAATGTACTGTATGTATTTTGCGTCATTTTTTGTGTACACAATGACACATTTACACGAAACGCTTACACGTATCATACAAATGTATCTTCTCTCGGTTACAACATCACTGCACAACAACATTTATTTGACACGTGTATTGTTGGGTGATGAGTAGCGGCAAATGACGAGGATTCCGTATCACAAGCAGCGAATAACAACAGCGACAACGATAACGAATTGCAAAGGCCCAACAGTACACGTGAAAATACAAGAGATGTGGATGGATATGATGTGTTGGAGGATGTGCTATTTTTTTTACTCTATTTATTTGTTTGTTTTATTTGGAACTAAGGCGGCGGCAGGTATCACAAGGACATCTCCGAACAAATATATAACTCAAAAGGCAAACAAGTGGAAGATGAGAAAAAAACAACTCAGCATCAATAATAATTAATAATCTGCCATAATTGGGTCGACATTAATTATACCATACACGACAGGGCTCATTGCCAACTGACGAAGAAGAACTGTTAGAGAATTTTGAATTTGTGGGGGTGCTGAATTTACAAATTGTACACTTAGTTATTTTTTTTTGTAAAAAAGGTAACTCCAAGGTGACAACAACAATAAAACAATTCAATTCACATAATACAATGAACGAAAAAAACAAAACATTATTCAAAACAATTTTGAATATGGTGAAACCTTACACGAGATGTAAAAGAAAGGCCGAATAACAAAAAAATTTATTCGTGGAAATTCAGAGGAGAAATTGCGAATTTAAAATAAAATAAAATGAGACTGCCTTTCGCAGTATTATTTTTATCCTTAAAAATGTTTCACTATAATATTTATTTAAATAGGTTTTTATTAGAACTACGTGGGCGTATACGTTGTTACAACATCTATACGCATCAATGTACCCATGATTAGTGAAGGATATCTGAATAAAAATGTGATTATACCGATACATTCGGGTATGTTCTGGAACTCACGGCGTGTTCTTTTCACTTTACACATACACTTCACCTCAGAAGCTACCTCCTGTTCTGCTTCTCACGTGAATTGAAATTTTGAACTGCGACAAAAATAAACGTCGACATGGTACTTTGCAGAAATAGTGTTGCCATTCAATATAAACTGTATTCGTTTTTAACATTGTTTCTGTAATTTTTTAGTAATTTCGTTAATTTTAACGACAATTTTATTATTATTTTTTAATATTTTTTTATTCGCAACATAAAATATATGTATGAAACCTCTGTAATAACATTAATTTCTTGATTGATTTAAGGGGAACATTTGGTAACCCTATCTTTTTCGGCCTTACTTCAAATCAGTTGTTTGTGTCAAGCAAGAAATTCAATTGAAGAAAATTTAAGACAAACCTTAGTATCTATTTAAAATTTGTTGTTAATGGTGTTTCATGTTCATTTTGTGATTTTAAACAAATTATACGCAATAATAACAAATCAATCTATCATAATGTGCGTTTTTTATTTCAAAAAAGATTTTCTTTTATATGAAAAAACAGGAATACACCCGACTCTCACTATGGAAATGTAAGTGTAAAGAATACACCTCAAATGGGTGTAAAGTGTGTTACAGAACACCTCGGCGTGTGTTCGATACACTTCTGCCGTTGAAGTGAATGCCAGAACATGCCCGATTAACTCGTGGATGTCAATTAGAAGTTTTTAAAGATATTATAGGCGGAGATTTTTTTAAATATATTTCTGAGAACACTTATAGGGTAGATATTAAAAACAAATTATTAGAGGTGTGGGGTTTTATTTAAAAATAACTTTTTGGAGACGTGAATTATTTAAAAATATTTTTTTTAATTTTTTCCACGACCTTTAAGGTGTGGATTGTTTTAAAATCATTTTTTGGAAGGTGTGTATTATTTTAAAATTTTCTTCGAGGCCCTTTATAGGCGAGGATTATTTTACAATCATTTTTGGAGGCGTGAATTATTTTTGTTTTCTATAGAAAAAATTCGCATACCCTCAGGTCGTACTTTTTTTCTATAGGAAAAATCCCAGACTCATAAGTCGGACTTTTTTCGATAGAATAAATTTCGCTGAAACTCAATCGGAGTTTTTCTATAGAAAATAAGTCAGACTTTTTATCGAAAAAAGAACAGAACACAAGGATGGATTTTTTTCTACTAAAAAAAATTAAATGAAAATGAAGTCTGGTATTTGCAGACCCCCAAAGTACCATAGGGACCACAAACACTTCTCCTGAAAACCTCATCAGCTCTATAAACTCTATAATCAACCCATCTAAAAAAGGCTTCCTTCGGCTCGCTTTAGAGGCTCCCTTCAGGTCGCCTATAAATACTTCCTTCAAGTCACCTATAAAGGCTCACTTCTGCTCGCACATTAAGGCTACCTCGTGCTCGCATATAGAGGCTCCCTTCACCACGCTTATAGAGACTACCTTCAGCTCGCCACTCGCCTATAAATGCTCCCTCAATTCACCTATAAAGGCTCACTTCAGCTCGCATATTAAGGCTACTTGAGCTCGTATATAGAGGCTCCCTCCAGATCGCATATAGAGGCTACCTTCACCACGCCTATAGAGCTTCCTTTCAGCTCGCCTATAAAGGCTCCCTTCATCAAGTCAATAAAGGATCCCTTTAGCTCGCCAAAATGTTTGGTCCAATAAAACTTCCATTCAAATCGCAAAAAATTTTTGGTTTTTATCTATCCCGCTTTAAATACCTGCCTGTCTTCTCAATATTGACAAACATAATTCAATATAATAATAATTTTGAGTCATATTATACGATTTAAAATAAAAACATCGAATCTTCTTTTCTTCGAAGACAAAAAGTCTTCAATCTTCTAAAAATATTTTTTCGGGGCAATTTTTAGCCCTGGATTTTTTTTAATTATTTGTTCGAGAACAGTTATCGACGTAAATTACAAAAAAATAAAATTTCAGCTTGTGTATATCGTTCGTTTACTTTCCTCTGCTTCCTTCAATTCACCTATAAAGGCTCACTTCAGCTTTCATATTAAGGCTACCTCGAGCTCGCATATAGAGGCTCCCTTCACCACGCTTATAGATGCTCTTTAGCTCGTCTATAAAGACTCCCTTTAGCTCGTCTATAAAGACTCCCTTTAGCTCGTCTATAAAGACTCCCTTCAGCTCGTCTATAAAGGCTCCCTTCAGCTCTCCAAAATGTGTGGTCCAATAAAACTTCCATTCAAATCGCAAAAAATACTATTTTTGGTTTTTATATATCCCGATGTAAATAAATACCTGCCTGTCGTCTCAATATTAAATATATATGTATAAAAAATATAATAATAATTTTGAGTCCTATTATACGATTTAAAAAAAATCGAATTTTCTTTCTTTCGAAGGCAAAAAGTCGTTAATCTTCTAAAAATATTTTTCGGACAATTTTTAGCTTTGGATTTTTTAAAAAATATTTGTTCGAGAACAGTTATCGACGTGAATTAAAAAACAAAAAATAAAATTTCAGCTTGTGTATCATATATTTTTCGTTTACTTTCCTCTGTATGTCACTGCGTATACATGCTGTCACTATGTATACGTCACAATGCCGCTCAAACAATATACATTCTATGAAAAGTATTATTTTCGATTTATTTTCGTTAAATTATTGCTCTGTTCCAGAACCTGCTAGAATGTACAATTTTTTACTACGATAACAATTTTTCCTTTATGATATCGGAAAAAATAGTAAAAATTGGTAGATTCTTGCATTACGGGAACAGACCATATGTTTCCTTCAATATGGATATCATGTAAATATGTCACTATGTGCATCACATCATATTGGAATAAATTTTGTTTTTCCAATACAAAAAAAAATATATACATACATATATATTTTTGCCTGATTATAATTTTGACAATGTTTCTGGATAGGTGATATTTTTTTCTCTTTGTATCGATTTGTTTGTGTAGATTGAATGTTGTTGTGACATGTCATTGTTGTTGTGGTTGTCAGCGATGAATTCATAAAGTTATGACGTTTTCGTGTTTCAATCGAAACCAAATAAAATTTAATTGCATGTAAAATAATGCCATCGTGATTGATGTTGCTCTGATAAGATGGAAGACTCTGTCGATTTTCTAAAAAAATAAACGTTCTATAGAATATCCTCTTGGTTTTCTGTAAAGAAAAATTCCTTAAGGTCTTCCATAAGGGGGCTTCTATAAGACTATCCTTTCTGGTCTGCATTTAAAATATGCCTCATAAATATTTTTAAAATAGTCATGCCTTGTATTGGTCCTTTAAAAAATATTTTAAATATCCCAGAAAAATATTTTTTAAAAATCCATGCTTGTAATAGATTTTTTTTTATAATTGTTCCCACAATTATTTTAAAATGGCTTATAACTTTAATATTTTAAACTCCATTTTGAATTTTTCAATTATGAAACAATTGATTTTATTAAAAAAAAACCCAATCATGTAACACTTTTTTGCTCTGAGCTTAAATTCAATTGCGAATAACTTAATTTAAATAGTTTATATAATACTTTTGCCTGTTTTTTCCCTCCGCTTCGAACTTCATTACATCCATGTGGCATTAGTGGCATATTTTCATATTGTTGTGGGTTTTTTCCTTTTCATGTTTTTTGTTTTCTTTTTTTTTTTTAATAAAAACTGCGACGTTATTCAGCTCAAGGGCTATCCCGATTATTATATTGAATTTCATTAATTATCTGTTTTTGTTGTTATTGTTGCTGATTGTTTTGTTTTTATTTTTTTTCGAAATCTGTTGTTTATGGTAACCGAACAGCTACTCATCATTATCACGATGATTTTTTTTCTACTATCATTCCAGCATTCCATGTTGTATTTCTTCCATCATTACGAGCTGCCGGTAATTATGCAACAGGCCCAAGTACTCATATTAACACGTAATCAAAATAATGGTGGCGGTGGTGCTGGCATTATGCAACAGCAACCGCAACAACAGCAGGGACAACAAATGAATCGACCGGGTGGTGGTGGTGGCGGTGGTGCTGCCGGTGGCCAACCTCAGCAGCAGCAACAACAACAGCCGGGAACCTTTGCGGCAAATCGCATTTTCCGTTTGGTACCATTGCCCCAACAGCAACAACAACAGCAGCAACAACAACCACACCAACTCAATGGTCAAATGCAACCACAACAACTGCCATTTGTTGGTGGTTTGTTACAACACTATGCCGGACAGAATGTTGGCGGTGCCCTTGGTATGATACGCAGTGCCCTGTCGGCTCGTGGCTGGCGCCAGCCACTCGTTCGTGTACGCATACAGACAACAGGTAATTTGCAACGTATCAATTTGGGTTCCATACAAATAAATCCTGAGAATTTGGCACGTGCACCAGCAGGAGCAACAACGCCAACATCAACATCGGAGGTAACATCATCTTCATCCTCATCGACGACATTGTCGTCGTCCTCGCAGGCTGCTACTACTACTACTACAGCCAATGATGCATCACCCACATCAACATCACAACAACAAACCACAACCGCAGATCCAGCTGCGGATAGTAGTGGTGGCAGTAGTTGTAGTTCGTCGTCGCATTTGAATGACAACTCAACAAATAGTATTGTTGTGACTGGTTCAGGTTCGGTAGGTAGCAGTACTGCTCATCCAGTGAGTTGTGAGAGTTTATCAACATCATCACCAACAACAACAACAACTACATCACCGACATCATCATCATCACCGATGTCATCGTCGTCGTTATTAACAACCGCCAATGCTGCGCCATCTGTAAAATCCTCGACAACTATTGCTGAGGATAGCGGATCAGTAGTTCAACAAAACAATGGTAAGTTGATGCGGATTTTGTGTTGAAAGCCACAGCTTTTAGAAATGCGTACAAAAAATATATTCTAGAAATAGTTAATGGATTTTGATTTTCTTTTTGAAAGGTTGACAACAGGTTGCAGCGCGGTATTTTTTTCTTTTGGAACACCATTTCCAGGAGTATAATAATTTTCAGGTTGTGGACACTAGGTTGCAGAGCTTAATCAAGTCTTCTAGAAGAGCTATAAAAGAGCTTTATAAGTTATTTCGGTTAAATCTTCGCCCTACATTAGAAGATCAAGTTTTTATGTCGCATAGAAATGTTATCCACCCCTTAGAACGGCTTTAGAATGTCTTCTATGCCATAGAAAAGCTTTTGAATGACTTCTATTTCGTAGAAGGAATTTAGAAGGCATTCTATCTCATAGAAAAGCTTCAGAAGGTATTCTATCTCACATAAGTTATTCTATATCGTAGAAGGGCTTCTAACTCACAGAGCTTTAGATGGCACTCCTGATTACCGGATTTCTCACAAGGGGACTTTTAGGTGGTCTGAGGAATACCGTCAGAAGTTCTTCTATCTTATCGACCTCTTGTAGAAATTCAGTCGTCTGAAATACCTTCTCACAGAAGACCAGAAGGATATTCCCCGAATATCTCACGTCACATCAGGATTTCCGTATAATACCTCTTTCGACATTGCAACAGCTGTACACAGTTTTCTTTAGCCTACAATAAGCGTGTATTTATTAAAGAATATTTTTTCCAAAAGCATTTATTTTTAAAGAGTATTTGCAAGCCCCTTCCATAGAGGTGGATATATTAAAACATTTTTTTTTAAATGCCCGCAGAAGGCGTGGACAAGAGGTGTGGATTTATTAAAGGATATTTTTTCAATCCTTCCAAAGGCCTGAAAAATCCATGCATTTTCCAAGGCGTAGATTTTTGAAGAATATTTTTCAGGAACCATTACAAGAGGTGTGGATTTTTAAAGAATATTTTTTCAATCCTTTCCAAAGGCCTGGAGGATTTATTGAAGTATATTTCTTCAAGCCCTTCCAAAGGCCTGAAAAATCCATGCATTTTCAAGGCGTAGATTTTTAAAGAATATTTTTCAGGAACCATTACAAGAATATTTTTTCAATACTTTCCAAAGGTCTGGAGGATTTATTGAAATATATTTCTTCAAGCCCTCCCAAAGGCCTGAAAATCCATGCACTTTCCAAGGCGTAGATTTTTAAAGAATATGTTTTCAAGTTTTTTCCAAGCGTGAATTTAGTCAATATATATGCCTTCACAATAAATTGGTTTTTCATTGTTCTTGTTGATGTTATTTCAAAATTCAAAGCATACCTTTAGGCGTATATATCATTTTATTCATATACAATGTTTAATGTTGTATTACCCCTTTGGAAATGGTGTTACGCCATTGAGTTTTATTCCAATTAAGTTATTCCATTAACAATAACCCTATTGGCCTTCATTATAGATTAAAAAGAACTATGTGTTTCCTCAAAGATTAGAATATGAAATTCTAAAGAGTTTTAAGAATTGAATTTTTTTATTTAACTCCTCTGTTTTATCGTTGCAGGAGGTGGTTGCAACGGCAATACTAATGGTATTAATGATATGGTCCAGCTTGAAGATTGCGCTAAGAGCGAAACAATCGTTGATGATGGGACATCAGGTACACTCTAGATATTAGAGCCCGAGCTGGAGATGGAAAAAAATAAGAAACTACGGATTAAGATACATCACCCCCTGAATAGTCAGTCAGGATACAAGAAGCAGAACTATGTTTTATACAAATTTCAAATGAAAACAACAAACAAAAACAAAATAATACAGAAAAATAAATTTTCCTTTGAAAGCGAAGTCGAACAGATGTAGAAAATGAAAATTGATGTGAGAAAAACTATACCATAAGAGAGAAAACATTAATAACAAGAACGTCACATAAATTTGCTCTAATGTGAAATGCATATTATTAAAGAAAAAGAACAGAGCCTAGCCCCGTTTATTTTATTTTTATTTTTTTTAGTTTTTAATTTATTTTGTAGTTTCCCTAACTAAAATGGAATATTCCCCCGCTTACATTTGGCCTTGTATGTATGTATAATTTATATGTTTTTATTTTGCTTTATAATAATAATTAAATAATTATAATTAAAAAATAAACAAAATACCCTTTACATATGTAAATTAACTCGATCTCAAATGACGAGGTAAAAAAAAGAAATGTGTCACGAACGATGATGAAAAAGAAGAAAGAAGTTATTGAATGAAATCCATATGTGTTAAATTTTCAAGATGTTGTTTTATTTTTTTTTCTGATTTATTTATTTGCGGTTGAGAGGGCAGAGGGATCATTATTGTGTTTTTGATACCAAAATAACAACAACAAAAAATTAATAAAATCATACATGAATTAATTATTTAAAAAAAGGTAAAAAAATTGTTATAAATATACTTATATATGTGTGCGTGTGCAGTATGAATCTGGCCCAAGCAGAATACAACATCGATTGACAAAAAAGAAAAATAAAAAATTAAACCAAAAAATAATTGAATGATTTTTACTAAGGGCGTGGTTTACACGAGGCGTGGATTTATTAAAGAATATTTTTTCAGGGTCTACATGAGGCGTGGATTTATGAAAGAATATTTTTTCAAGGGCTACCAAAGGCGTGGATTTATGAAAGAATATTTTTTCGGGGTCTACATGAGGCGTGGATTTATTCTACATGAGGCGTGGATTTATTAAAGAATATTTTTTCAGGGTCTACATGAGGCGTGGATTTATTAAAGAATATTTTTTCAAGGGCTACCAAAGGCGTGGATTTTTGAAAGAATATTTTTTCAAGGGCTACCAAAGGCGTGGATTTATGAAAGAATATTTTTTCGGGGTCTACATGAGGCGTGGATTTATGAAAGAATATTTTTTCAAGGGCTACCAAAGGCGTGGATTTTTGAAAGAATATTTTTTCGGGGTCTACATGAGGCGTGGATTTATGAAAGAATATTTTTTCGGGGTCTACATGAGGCGTGGATTTATGAAAGAATATTTTTCAAGGGCCAACTAAGGCGTGGATTTATAAAAGAATATTTTTCAAGGGCCAACTGAGGCGTGGATTTATGAAAGAATATTTTTTCGGGGTCTACATGAGGCGTGGATTTATGAAAGAATATTTTTCAGTGTCTGTATAAGGCGTGGATTTATAAAAGAATATTTTTTCGGGGTCTACATGAGGCGTGGATTTATGAAAGAATATTTTTTTCGGGGTCTACATGAGGCGTGGATTTATAGAAGAATATTTTTCAGTGTCTGTATAAGGCGTGGATTTATAGAAGAATATTTTCTCGGGGTCTACATGAGGCGTGGATTTATTAAAGAATATTTTTTCAAGGCCTACCAAAGGCGTGGATTTATTAAAGAATATTTTTTCAAGGCCTACCAAAGGCGTGGATTTATTAAAGAATATTTTTTCAAGGCCTACCAAAGGCGTGGATTTTTTAAAGAATATTTTTTCAAGGCCTACCAAAGGCGTGGATTTTTTAAAGAATATTTTTTCAAGGCCTACCAAAGGCGTGGATTTTTTAAAGAATATTTTTTCAAGGCCTACCAAAGGCGTGGATTTTTTAAAGAATATTTTTTCAAGGCCTACCAAAGGCGTGGATTTATTTAAAGAATATTTTTTCAAGGCCTACCAAAGGCGTGGATTTATTAAAGAATATTTTTTCAAGGCCTACCAAAGGCGTGGATTTATTAAAGAATATTTTTTCAAGGCCTACCAAAGGCTTCTCTTTTAGTTGCTTGTTCCGTATTTTTTTTTTATTAATTTCTCATAATTGTAAAGTTTTTGAAAATCAATCTGTAAATTATATATTTCAGATAATCCGCTATACAGTTTCTGTTGCTGTTCTTTTCTTAATGAGCAAAAAAAGACTTGTTGATAATAATAAATACCAAAGCCGTAATTTCAGCAGCTTTTGAGTATCCTCCTTTTTCTCTCTCGATTCCTTTAATAAGGATAATGTATTTTTATGTTGACTTTCTTGTTGTTTTCTTTTATGTTGTTGCTGTTGATATTATTATTGTCAAAGTGTGTGTATTATTATGAAGTGTAACGCTTGTTATTTCGTGCAAAATCCCTACTCTGCCCAAACTCCACTCCATTCCCCCTCCCTTCTACCTTTTACTACTGCATGGTGTTTTATTTCATTATACTCGTTATGGATTGTCGTTATCATCATTCGTTCATTCGAAATGAATATTTATTTTAAGCTAATTAACACAAAACTGTCATAAATGGATGGAAGATATCTTCTGATGCTCTGTTTGTTTGGAATCCATCTCCTGAAATAAAAACAAATAACAACAAAAATCGACAACAACATAGTAATGATGGGATAAGCAGTAGCAGTTGCCAATGTTACTGTTTGTTTGTTGTGTTGTTGTTGCTGGCATTATCCCTATTAAAATGTCATTTTAATTGGTATTTTATTACAATCTCCCATATGGTATGGGGAGGTTGATAATAGGGGCCAGTGAGTTTATTTTCTTAAAGAAAATACAAAAAAAGGATTTTTTAAAGAATATTTTTTTCAAGGCCAACCAAAGGCGTGGATTTATTAAAGAACATTTTTTCAAGACCTACCAAAGGCGTGGATTTATTAAAGAATATTTTTTTAAGACCTGTCTGAGGCGTGGATTTATTAAAGAATATTTTTCAAGGGCCAACTGAGGCGTGGATTTATTAAAGAATATTTTTCAAGGGCCAACTGAGGCGAGGATTTATTAAAGAATATTTTTCAAGGGCCAACTGAGGCGAGGATTTATTAAAGAATATTTTTTCAAGACCTAACAAAGGCGAGGATTTTTTAAAAAATATTTTTTCAAGACCTAACAAAGGCGTGGATTAATTAAAAAATTTTCTATGGCTTCAAAAAATATTCTGGGCGTCGATATTTTAAAAAATATTTTTGGAGGTCAAATATATTTTTCAAAGTATAGAAAAGGCGTGGTTTTTTGATGCCGAGGATTTGTCAAAAAATATTTTTTCAAGGTCTATAAATGATAATAAAAGCGTGGATTTTTTTGAGATTATAAAAGTGAGAATTTTCCAAGAATATTTTTTTCAAGGACTTTACAGTTTTTCTTATATCATACTTAGGCTACTCTTTTAAATTATCGATTATTTCCTAAGCTTTCCTCTATATTTTATATTTTATCTCTCTTCTGCCTTCCCATTACCTTAGCAATTATATATAAAAAACTATTTCATAACAACATTATTTGTGGTAATCATCACCTTCCTACCAGCCTAACTCTGCCTTAGAGGCAATATTATCATCTTCTGTCTACACCTCCATCATCGGTATTATTATTCGCAAACCCCAAGCATTCTTGGCCATATTTTCCACATCCACAAGATGATCCTTAACTGACCAATCAACAACCCGACCAACTAACGAACTAAGTGAACATAAATAGCAAATCCAGTTGAGGACAAGGTTGTAAAAATATTCGCATTCATCTGTGAAATTATTTAAAAAGAAATGGAAAAATGCGACTAAAACGAACACAAAACTGTAACAAAACTGAAAGAGAAGAAGTAGCAAAAAAAGTTTTAAAAAAAATATGGTGTAAAGAACTACTTTCATTAAAGTTGGCTTAAGTTTGGTTTTTACAAGAATGATGATGGCGGTGGAAGATAAGCCAGCACAGTGGTTAGAAGGCTTATAGCTATGGATTTTAGAAGACCTATATGAGTCTTATATATCTACATTAAATTTTCATAGTCTTGAGTAATCTTCTGATAAAATCTCACAAGATTCTCTTCTTGCTTTGCATTTATTTTCGAAAGACCTTTGTCCTTATTAGGACCCCTTAAGGTTTTAATAAAAAAGTTTAAAGGACTTTTTCTTCTATCTACAGAAGAGCTTTTGAAACATCTACAAAAAATCTATCCATTTTCTATTCTACTAATAATTACCTTCAATACGGACATCCAATTCCTGCACCACTGTTAGTTAATAAACTCATTCCATGAGACGGTACCAAAGAAGATTTTTTTCATTATGCAAAAAAAAAAAAAAAAAATATTTTTCTATTGCTTCGTTAGAATATTTTTCATATTTTTAATTTCTTTGCAGTTGGGTGTGTGGATGAGTGCGTTTTGTTCTTGTTCTGCTCTTTCCTGTTGATGACAGGAGTCATCCGAGGAGCTGTAGAAACTATGGCTTTATGAATGTGTAGCCATGTGTTTGTTGCCTTTTGATTTTATGTTGTTGTTGTTGTTTTTCTTGTTATGTAGACATAATAATTTTCTAATTAATTGAAAAAGTAAATCCATATTGAAAGTTGATTATAGTATAGTTTGAATCCATAGAAGCCGATGGTGAAACTTTCAAAATGGATTAACAAAATGAGTAGGAGTTTGAAATTAAGTAAGGTGCTTAACAAAAAGAGGGGGAGGGGAAAATAACTATTCAAATAATAACAATGACTTTCTTCTTTAAAAACTCCACGCCTTCTATAGGCCTTTAAAAAATCCAGGCCTTCTATAGGCCTTTAAAAAATCCAGGCCTTCTATAGGCCTTTAAAAAATCCAGGCCTTCTAGAGGCCTTTAAAAAATCCAGGCCTTCTATAGGCCTTTAAAAAATCTAGGCCTTAAAAATATCCTTTAAAAAATCC